GTCATGGCGTTTTCTTAATGCCCTGGGACTCACCCTAACCCTGTTGGTGGGTGGTTTAGTGTAGTGATTAATGAAGAGCTCAGACTCCAAAGCCAGCCTATCTAGGTTTGAATCCTCATTCATTTCCTAGCAGATTCATTTCCTTGGACAGATTCCTTAACCACTCTGGCTTGATCTTCTCATCTGTAAAATGGGGTAATAGTAGCGCCTGCCCAATAGGATTGTTGTGAGGATTAAGTAGAGTGATATTTGTAAAGAACTCAGCACAGTATCTGGCATAAAGCAAGTGCTTTCAAAGTGTTAAATATTACCACTACTCTTCCTACTTTCACCTACTGCTACAGCTACCTACTGCTGCTGAGTCAGAATCTTAGTGGTGGGTCTAAGAATAGTCCTGTACACAGTAAACATTGGGAAACTCTGAGTTGGATGGCCTTGAGGAGCTTATTTGTCTTTAACTCCCTTTGCTTCTGGAATATACAGGTTTTTCCTGTCCTTTGACATATGTTTGTCAGTTGTGCAATCATAGGAACCGAAGCATAACCACCTCTAGATTTGTTTTACTTCTCTACTACCCCCTTGGCCACTATTGGGGGAGAAGCAAGGCCAGCTGCCGTGTTAATTGCTTTTACCACTTCCAAGTCTAGTCTGCTGAGTCCTTCATCTACTATTAAGTCTCAGAGTACTGGAGGCTGAGCTCTGGTGTCGTACTGATAGACACGCCTCACAGATTTCATATTATCTGGAAATTCTCCCAGGCATATAGCTTTTTGTAGAGTACAGACATATGTATTAAAAATTAAAATGAGAAAGTATCTGTTTTTGTAGGAGCTGTGGAGAAGCAGGATGCTTCATGGTCATGTCCACAGTAACACCTGTTTTGAAAACCTGTACTTGCTTTAAAAAATAACAGTTCAGCAGTGCCTTCTGCCAGCTTTGCTGAGTATAGGAGTTGACACATGTTAACTCTCCTGGAAATCCTGGAGAGCCATCTTAATGGACTTTTTAATGACATCACAATAGACCGTGGTACTTGTAATTAATGTCTGGAAAGAAATCAGACATTGTCAGAAAAGAAAAACAACAATCTGGGCTGCCATTCTTCACAAGTAGATTTCCAAAATGCCTAGAAAGATAAGGGTTTTTGTTGCATGCTATTATTTTTAGCTAATTCAACATTAGAATTGGGAAAAATGTATTTTTTTATTTAACTCTAGCTGGTACACAATGCTATGTTAGTTATCTTAGTTTTAGGTGTACAACATAGTGATTAGACATTTTTATACCCTGCAAGGTGATCTCCCCACTAATCCTAGTACTCATCTGTCACTGTGCAATCTAATCACCATATTATTGACTATATTCCCTTTCACCTTTTTCACCCATTTCCCCACTCCCTTCCCTATGGCAACTATCAGTTAGGTCTATGTTTCTATGAGTCTGTTTCTATTTTGTTTTATTTTTTGTTTGATTCCATATATGAGTAAAATCATACAGTATTTGTCTTTGTCTGTCTGATTTATTTCACTTGGCATAATACACTCTGGTTCCATCCATGTTGTTGCAAATGGCAAGATTTCATTCTTTTTTTCTGGCTGTATAATAGTCTATTATGTGTGTATATATACCACATCTTGATCCATTCGTCGATCAGTGGACACCTAGGTTGCTTCCATATCTTGGCTGTTGTAAATAATGCTGCAGTGAACACAAGAGTGCATAGATCTTTTCAAATTAGTGTTTTCATTATCTTTGGATAAATACTCAAAAGTGGAATTGCTGGGTCAGATAGTAGATCTGTTGGGACGTTTTCCCCCTTCTTTCTGATGGATAACCTTTAGTGAGGTTATTACTGATACAGCTGGCTGAGTCTTCGAAGACTACAGGGAATTACGGCTGGCCTTCTGCCTCTGTAAGCGTGTCAGAGATGAGAGCATGCTATCTGGGAAGGGCAGGCCAGCTTTGTAGATAAGGCAAGATATGATATGGAATACTGAGAAAGCATTTGATGAATGTTTTGTTATTGGACATCTTATTTTATGTGCATCTTTGGGTAATAGAAATGAATATTGGTGGAAGGCTTTACAATTTTCAAAGGAGAAATGACAGGAGCTGATTATTTAGCATTTATTATGCATCAGAAACTCTGCTAAGTACTTGACATTCATACTCAGATCACACACCTAGTTAAATGATGGAGCCAGTACTTGAACTATAATTCAGCCTGAGGTCAAGCCTGTGTTCTTAAAGAGTGGGTTACATTGCCTTCTTACTCTATCTGCAAGACATTTTAAAGTTGATTGAATAGAAAAGTTACATCACAGACTAACAAGGGGCAAAGCTAGAGTGACTTGAATTCCTGTGTGTTTTCTGTACCCTCCCATGACATTATAACATTGTATTTATTTACTAGTTCAATTAGCTAGATTCAAATATGAAGAAAGGATCATAGTAATTTTCCCACCAAAGTAGCTGATGGTTCTGTTTGTGTGTTTGTGCGCATGTGCTCTGGAGGGAGGGTGGGGGAGGGAAGAGGAGGGGAGGAGGGAGGGGAGGGGAGGAGGGAGGGGAGGGGAGAGGGGAGGGGAGGAGAGAGGAGAAATTGAGATTATAAGTTAGGGGAAGGGAAAGAAAATGTCATTTACCATTGACATGTTTTCATATTTTGTACCAAAGCCAACCAGATGTCTACAGAAAATATAAAGGTGAATGATTCATGGGGAAAAAGCTTACTATCTGTAGAAATGGTAGACCTAAGCTTTAGGTTGTCCATGTAGAACTCTGGTCTTACAGTGGAGAGGAGAGAGTACTTTTAAATTATGTACCAGCTTTGCAGTCCATGCCTTGGTCTGGGAGTAAGAAAGAGGCCAAATGGAAGGAACATTTCTACATCCCTTCTCAATATTTTAATGGCAGAGTCTCATATTTTGGCCTTTTAACTCTGGGCATTTGGTCTTCTAGAGTGTCTTAGGGGAGGAATGATCATTAGCCAAGTTTGAGGGTGAAAAATGACTAAATTGTCTTGCCTTCTCGTAACAAGGAGAAATCCATTCTTAGTCTAAAGCTAAGTCTATTGAGACACGTTAAAGATTTGCAGCAATCTCTAGTATTAAGGAACAATCCAGTGTTTGATGAAAAATGTTTAATTTCGAATGTGCAATTGTTAGAGGTTGATCTGTCATGATTACAAACACATTTCTTTGATTAATGCAGAAGTATCTAAAATAGGTGGTTTTGCTAAGAAAATGGTTCCCCAACAGCCCTCCCTCTTCCTGCTCCGAAAATTGAAGATAGTGTTTTCTACTTTGTATACACATTGATAAAATTCGTACTATTTCCCCCCAAGCTTCTCTACCCCTTAGTGTGACTGCATTAGACAGATAATAAAAATATATGGAAAATATTGAAAACTTAGAAATGTGGTTTTCCTTTAAGTAATTTATGCATTACTTTTTGAGATAAAGGTATTTTCACATTATCTATTCTTTTTTTTTATTCACCATTTCCAAGTGCCATACCACTTGAATATATTTGAGAATAATTCTAAGTGTTTTAAAACTTTACACCCATGGTGTTTGTTAAGTAAGCAGAGATGCAGAGGCTCCTATATTTACTGGGAATGTGTTAGAGTTAGTAGAGTGGGGAAGATCCTCCAATTTTTTCAATTCTATTGTCAATAAATATCTATTGCTTCCTCTGTGCTAGGCGGGGATGATCCCATGGCAATGAAAATGAAACTGAAATGAAACAAAAACAGTCTTTGTCTGAAGTCCAGTGATAAAGAAATCAATGAAATGCATAAATACACATAAACTGTGATAAATACAATGAATGAACAATCTAGGAAAACTAAAAGTGTATTTATAGTAAGGTCTGAGGGTGGGCAGATGAGAAGAACAGAGAAGTCCTTCTTAAGAGCTAATATTTAAAGCAAATAGATCTAAAGTATTAGAAAGAATCAAGCAAGAAGATTGGGATTGGAGAAAGTGAAGAAAGAATTACTGTATTAGTTAGGATTTATTTCCTCAGAAACAATGCAGAAGTTTATTTTTCTCTTGCATAAATTTAGGTTAGTATTGGCTGAACCACATTATCAGAGATATTTGTTTCTTGGATTTTGTTTCCCCACCTCATTGTCCATGATGGCCCCCCATCCTCAGTCATCACGTCCACATTCTAGCCAACTGGCAGAAGGAAGGATAGCCAGGACACTTCTGCTCACATCCCATTGGCCAGACTTGGTCACATGACAACACTCGGTTGTAAGGAAGGCTGGGAAGTGTAGTCTTTATTTTGGGCAGCATGTGCCCAGAGTTCTAAACTTCAAAAAGAAGAGGATAGTGCTGAGAGAGAACTGGCAGTCTGCCACAATCACTTATCACATGAGAATCGCAGTCTGGTTTATTTTTCCTCAGCAAGAGGCAGCTGACACATCTCCTCTGCCATCTCCTGCCCTTTTTTTTTTTTACTGCACTTTCCTCAGCAGAAAAGAATTACAATGCATTCAGAGAGGTGTGAGGTTAGCTGAGACCTAGTGGACTACAGTGGCCTATTCAGGGGGAATGTCACGATATAATCTCTCCAACTAGTTAGTCCTAAACTCTTGATTCAGGCATGACTACAGAATCTCACTAGGTACTAAGTGAAAACTAATTACATACTGTCAGTATTGTTTGTGTCCCTTTGGTGCCTGGCAGAGCATCTGGCATATGGCTTACTAGTTGCTTATTACTTCAGTTATTGACTAATGGAGAGGAGAAGGAAACACATGTGATAGTTTTCAGTGGCCACCAGGATAAAAGGAAACAAAAAACTCAAGTTGTGATTATAGATAAATATCTGTGTGAGTTCAAAACTGAGAAAGAACAACATGGATTTGGACTTTAGAACTTAAGTAACCTCAAACATCATCAGATCCTTCTTTTTATAGGAAAATTGAAGTTGGAATGGTTCAGTTACTTGGTGGGACTTACACAGTTGTTGGTAGCAGAATTGCTTTTTCAACCATTTAAATATTTCTGGAGAGGCTTTGTGGCAACCCTAGGAGTTGATCTGGTCTTTGGATGTGTGGTATTGGATAGGTGAAGAAGAAAACTTTCTAGACTTGTGTTTGAGTTAACTGCAAGGTCAGTGTGAGTAATATGGCTTCTGAAAAATAATGAAACGTAATGAGAAAGAAGAAATGTCCTACAGTTTAGATAGGAATTAACTGAGACACCTTTACGTGGACAAGTGTGTCTGCAAGAGTAGCAGAATGGCATGATGTAACTGTCCTAACAATCATTATACTCTGTCATTTTAGAATTTCTTGTTACTTTTTCTGCTTTTCAAAATATTTGGTAGCAGAGTGGTAAAAACAGAGCTTCTGGAGCTAGAATGCTTGGTGAACATAGGAAAGTTTTTTAATTTATCTGTGCCTTAATGTTCTAAGCTGTAAAATGTGAATGATAATGATGTATACCTCCGAGAGAAAGACAGGTGGTGTCTCAGTATTCAGGGCGTGTCACTGAATTTTCTGCTTCAGTTTCTGCTGAATTTGACCAAGTAAAAAAAAGAACCAGAATGTTTCTAAAGAGAAGGAATTATGGGATTACTTTCCATTTTAGGAAGTTTCCAGCCAATATATGTGAGGGACCAGAAGGAGATATGTATTAAGTAGCAAAGCTAAGGTATCAGCCAGAACTAGAGCTGGGGTCTGAAGTGCACCTGGCACTGAGGATTTCAAGAGTCTGCTCTCTCCTTGTTCCAGGAAAGACAGGGCCTTCTGTGGGCTGGACTCCGATTCTTAGATACCCTTTTGAGCTCTGGTAGATTATTTTGTTTGGTTCGACTTACAAATATCATTTGGTATTTGGAAAAATGAAACTACAATCACCTCAAGAAGCACTCATATATAAATAAAAATTATTTTAATAGTTTAAGAAAGAGGAAAAGAAGAATTCCTTGCTCTTTCAGTGTGCCCTCATGTCCTCAGTGTGCCTTTGGGTAGGTTGTCTCCCCCAAATCAACTTGCTTCTTGACTATTTCCCCAAGTTTAATTTGTTAATTTTATGTTACAACATATTAAATTAAGACTTTCATGAAAAGATAAAAACAGCATTACAACTGGTGTGCTATGTGTTGGACCCTGATACACTTTCCCAGAATACAGTATATTTTTCCAATCATAATGCTCATAGCAACTTATTATAACTCCTTGTCTTATGACTGTCTTCAAAACCAGATATTAGCCCTGCAAGATCAGGAATCAGGTGTCTTTTTTGTTCACTGTATGCCCAACACCTCGTGCTAGATCTGCCCCCTGGTAACACCTCAATAAATATTTGTCACATAAATGAAGGAGAGCCCGAGGAATGCAGCACACAGGTAGATATAAAGTAGACATGCAGTGGCCGTCTCTGGAAAATGGTCCTTTAGCCGCAAGGAGGTCTTTGAAACATAAATCTTAGGCAAGTTACCATTTACTATGTTAAGTGCCAAAGACAGGTTCAGAGCAGAACAGATGTCAGGCAGGGAGAATGTTCTGTAAGTCTCATGGGAGATGCCCTCTGGGGAGCAGAGGTGGTTTTCTCACTCCGGAGTGAGGTCCTGCCAGATGGCTGTACATCTGAAAGGAGGCTTACTAAATTCCGGTTGCCCTCACCAGGTCACCTGACACTTCAGTACGTGATTGCGAAATGGCCTTTAGCCATTTATACCACCTGGATGTGACATTCAGATTCCCAGGAGTTTGCTTCTATACAGCTGGGCTGTCTTATCACATTGTCTACACATTTTCCAATAATGATTAAGCACCGAGGTGCGCAATCTCACTGACCACGGACACTCTCGGAGGTTGATTCTCCTGTGGACAGTGCATAGGATGAGCCTGGGCCAGGACTCACCATGCCTCCCAGGGCCAGGCAAGGTGCTGTAAACAGGTGGGCATCAGAAAGTCAGACCTTACCACTAGGAAACTTATGAATCTGATGGGGGTGAAGAGGACACACAGATTTAAGTTATATCTAAACGGCTCCAAATAAATTCTGTAGAAAAAAGCCTTTTACATTTTCTGCCAGTTCTGTGATTGTCACGTCTGTAGCGGTATTGCCTGTATTAAGCATTTTGTACAAGGGATATCACTGTTCTTCAAAATATGTTACTTTATTAATATCTAATATCAAGCTTTGGGAATGGAGGAAGCAGGAGAGATTTTAGCAGACTGATCAGACATGAGGGAGTATGTGGGGAGAACAGTGTAGGATGATACCCAGGTTTTAAATACGGAGATGTTTGCCTTCTACGTTGGGAAGTCCCTGCATCCCTTTGCCAAATGCACCATATCCATTGGAATGACTGCAATCTGTCTTTAACTTCACTGACATCTTATTAAGTGTCTGCTTTATCACTTCAACTTCCCATTTGTCTTAGTACAATTAGTTTGGCCTGACCAACCTTAAAATAATACATGCAGAACATTTAACATAGGGCATTTAAATTGAAGTACAATAAGGTTCCAGCCTACTTTCTAGCATCATCTCTAGCTTCTACCTTCATACTTCAAAGCCCTTACTCATGGCATTTCCTCTGCTTGGTACACATCTCTCTCCCTTTTCTCTCCTGCATCAGTGCTTTGCTCATATGTCATCTCATCTGCAAAGTCTCTCTTCTCCAGTTATGATGTCTTCTAACCTTCAGAGTTAATATATACAGTAGTCCCCACCCTCACGTGTATGTGGGAGATACGTGTCAAGGCCCTGGCGGATGCCTGAAACCTTGGGTAGTACGAGCCCTCTATATGCTATGTTTCTTTCCTATACATGAATACCTTTTCACTTAAATGAAGCATTTTACGGCCTCTCTTTGGCATCTCTGAATTGCCAGATCCTTTTCACTTGTGCCAGTTCTTAAAATAGACCAGCTTTACTTTCTCCTTTCCAGGCTTTTTTTTTTTAAATCCGGGGTTTCTGTATACATTTTAAATTGCAGAGTTGATTGGGAATTTTGTAGCCTTTGTAATGATTTTTCCCCTTTTCATGGAAGACTGAGCCTTTCTTTATTTAAATTCTCACCCAAGGATATTTTATCATTGATTTTTAGAGAGAGAGGAAGGGAGAGTAGGAGGGATAGGGGGAGAGAGAGAGATAGAGTGAGAGAGAGAGAGAGAGAGAGAGAGAGAGAGAAACATCAATATGAGAGAGACACATTGATTGGTTGCCTCCCGCACACGTGCTTCCAGACCAGGGCCAGGGATTAACCTGCAACCCAGGTATGTGCCCTTGACTGGAATTGAACCCATGACCTTTGGTGCACAGGCCAATGTTGTAACCATTGACTCACACCAGCCAGGGCTTAAGCCTTTTTTCCTATCCTTTTAGATCATTTATAGAGGCTGTGCCATCCAGCTAGATTGCAAGACGCTGCCTATCTATCACTCAAGTTCCTGCTGTTCAGTGATAATGTAGTCAGTATGCTTTCGTGACCCCGTGAGGGCTGTATTTTTAATGGAGTTGCCCTCGATATTTAGATGTTCCTGTTTTTCTCGAGGCCAACATGCTCAGAATGTGAATTTAAAAATTTTGCCCTCTCACAATGCAGTGGAAGTCAGACACTTTAAATTAATTTTCTGTGGCTCTAAGTTTCCTTTCACTCTGTGTTTTAATTTGGTGAATTAATGCTTGCTAGGCACTGGGCATAGCAACTGTTTCTCCACTTAGCACTTTTTGGGTGAGTCAGTTCTGTCTGCCTCATCATCCTTGCTAGACACTGGTGTCCTTTATATATCTTGTGAGCCCTGGGGGACCAGGGCACTGTCAGAGCCGTAATTAAAACCTGCTGTGCTGCCAACACAACAGACTGTGTGCGAGCTTAAGGAGCTGGCTTCCTTACTGTGCTCACTTCTCCTTCGTTATTGTCTGTTGTGCTTAGCTTTTGCGTATGGCTCGGTGAGTCTTTTGGTATTGGTGGCTAGGCATCAGGTGGGGAAAGCCTTTCTTCAAAGATGTTTTGAATAGAACCAGCAATGGGTGGGTACAGGGAGCCTGTCTGCTGCAGACTCCGGCTGCAAGGCCTCCCTGTGCCTTCCCTGGGGCAGAGGGAGTCGAGCTTCCCCTGTTCCCATGAGACTCGTGAGACTCGTGATTATCAAATCCCGCCACCAGCACCCTTCGTGAAGACTCTCAAAGGCACCGCTCCCACTGCCTCCAGCCACTGCCGCCAGAACACAGCTCTTGGTCACAGAGAGCTGGGGTGGGTTTTTGAACATTTCTTTTCAAACCTACTTTTGTATGAATGTACACAGGATGGAAGGCAGAATGTCGGTCGTCAGTCCTGTAAGAAACTACGTGGGGTAAACAGGTTTCATAAATGTCCAGTTGTCAGTCTTTATCATGAATACCTAAAAAACCAAGGCCCAGGTGGACCAGTACTCACCTTCACAGACCACCGCCTCCACCAGCCATCCATTTTCTCATACCTTCCTACCCACCTGCTGTAAACATGAGGGGGAGGGGGACACAAGAAAAGGAAGCTGTGCAAAGTAACAGAAAGCTAAAGTAGGAAAGCATCATATGAGAAAGCCTGAGGGCCTTTTGGGTGCTCAATGGATGTAATAGTCTAATGGGAAGATCATAAATAAGTAAATGCATCATTCATACATGAGACTGGTATGTGCTCTGAAGTAAATGAGCGGAGGTGTCACAGAGGTTGAATTGAGACCTGAAAGAACCAACTACATGAGTGACACGAGGAACAAGCATAGGAGGAGTCAAGGGCAGGAGGGTTTCCGGCAAAGGGACACCCAATACAGAGGTATTAGATGTGTCCTCTCCCCAGGCCAGATAGATCCTGGTGACTGCTGCCCACAGCTTTCTTGCACACCAAACACCAACCCCCGCAAAGATAGCCCTTATATTAAAGAAAGCCTTTTTCCATGAGGCCATAAAGCAGTTGCTCCATTATCCCTCTCTTCCAGCTGGCATAGCATTGAGATGATTTTTATCAGGAGTCGACGCTTGGGTATCAGGCATCTTAAGGATTAAAAGACTGAGGAGCAGACCCACAATGAACTTATCTAACCTTGTGACTAAAATTGGCAAAAATCCCCTTTTCCTTTTTAAATTGCACACGTAATTGCTTTCTCCGAAGGAGTGACTGCATCTAGGACTGGCCTGGCTGGTGACTCAGAATGAGAGCTTAGGAAAGGCCTTGTCCCATCTGACAATCATACTTTGGGTGTGCTGCTGAGGTGTATATGCTGTATAAGGTGACTGTGCTAGGCTTCAGTGCTCTTCCATGAATTGGACTACATTTTCAGGAGGCTGCTACTGACAGGACCAGGTGCAAGCAGGGCCCAGCTGTTGTGTTTGGGAGCAAGGAGCAGACACCAGCACTTTTATGTCTGAGGCTACCAGCTAGCAAAGTTGCAGCGTCAGGAGCCAAATGGACAGGGGAGAGTCTGGCGTCTTATCTCCAAAATTAGAAGCAATTCTTAAAAAGCCACAGGCTTTTATTGATCTGTTCCCTAATAGCTCTACAAGTAGAGAGTGAGATTTTTAATGGTCGCTAAAGATCTTGCAAATGTCATCGACTCGCCGTCTATATATCTTGGAGAATAAGGGGAATGTGGGACTAATAAATAAATCCCAGGCAGCATTCTGAGGGAAATTGCAGGAGTGAAGAGGAAAGAATTTCTAATCTCATATGGATTTGGGAGGGGGACAGGAGCAGGAAAGTTGAGTGATGCTTGGATCTAGGAAGAAGTAGAGACAGTATTGCCAAGGGGTTCAGGGCATGGAGTCAGATTACTTGGGTTCAAATCTCAGCTCCACAACTTGTTTCCTGAGTGATCTTGGGCATCTTATTCAATTGTTCTGAGCATAAGTTTCCTTATCAGTAAAATAAAGACAATCATAATGACAATTACTAAAAAAGCAATCTAGATCATATACACACAGTGCCTAGCACTAAGCCTGGCCATTTAGTTTCCTTATCAGATACTGGTAGACTTCCTGGAGTTGTTGAGGAATGCCTTTTCTGGCTTGCCTTACAGTGGTCCTTCCCTGGGGGTGAGGGTAGCATCTTTTATTTTTAAAAGTGTTCATCTCTATTTTATTGGACAATGTGCGGCCACCAATTAGAGAGCAGTGAGTGAAATAGCAACGCATTCGATAAAGCAAAGAACAAAGGAGTCGTCAAGAGGACTGCACAAAAGCCATATGGAATAAAAGTCACTTTCTAGGTTTTTAACCCCCTCTCTCTTCCTTCCTCCCCCACCTCCCGGTTGGTAAAGGTTTTACTCTGCATAACCTACACCCCGACATTTGACCTGAACGGGAGTGCAGTGCTGAAGATCGCGGAGGTGAGTGCCCGCTGCTGCCCTCGCCCTCGGGTGCTGCTTGCGCTTGTGCTGCTTGCTCACAGCTGCCTCACCCCAGCTGGCATCCATACCGGGGTAGAGCAGAGCCCAGCAGTGGGGTGAGGCCTTCTCTGGTCATGACCCTGGGGAATTTCCGCTAAGGGTTGGATCTGTGAGAAGTGGGCTCGGTGGTCCATCGTCCTAAGTCATGGTGCTTTGCATGCTTTGGTTTGCTTAACTTGAGTCTGTAACCATAGAAATAACAGTACTGGTTCTCCCCACCTTACCTCACTCAGACTGCATTCCTAGTCTGTTTTTCCTAAGCTCAATCAAAAAGCATTTGAGTTTTCTTCAAAT